TCGGCCCCAGTTCGTGTGTGTGAAATGGTCACCTCCACCCAAACCCCCCTCCTCCCTCCGGGACGGGACGCGGGCAGCTCCGTGTCGCCCGGCTCCGGCTCCGCCAGTGCGGCCGGCCTCCCTTCTCCCTCCGCCGCTCTGGTCCTCCGCCTTTCCTCCGTCTTTATATAGAGCCATGGCTGCTCTCTAATATAGACTGCCAGGGATGGGACGGTGCTACTCGCGGCTACGTCACAGGCTCGCCATATAAACACCAGGCGGGGGTTTAAATAGAGAGCAGACGAGCCGGCCGGCCGGGGGAGGCGCGAGTGCGGAGGACGTCGTGCCGAGACGGCAGCCGTGCTCGCCCGTCGGAACCGAGCCCAGCCGGGTCCAGCCGAGCCCGGCCGCTTGGACAACCTCCGCCCGTCCGTCCTCCTGCGAGAGGAAGCCCGCCGAGCCGCTTTGCCGGCGCGCACTAGCCCGATATCTTGTGCGCCGTTTGCAGAGCCGCGGTTCTCTGAAAAATGGTTTTGATTCTGTCGGGCGGGGAGGGGCTGGTGTGGGTGCTGTACCTGTCCGCCCCCCCGCGGTAACGCCGTGTAGGTGCGCTGTGCCGTCCTGTGAAACGCGTTTGTCGAGGAGCATGTGTGTGCATGGGCTTCCGGGCTCCCGAGCCGGTCTGGAGCGGCGAGCGGGGTCGAGCCGTGCCGCACCGTGTGAGCTTGCCCGTCCGGATCCTGGAGGCGGGGACCGGGAGGGTGTCCCAAGATTTCAACCAGTCCGTAGCGCAGCAGGAGTGCAGGGAGAGGCCAGGCCGTGGCCTTTTCCAAGAGGTGCCACAATGGCCATTGAGTGCCGGATCCCAAGTTGGACAAATTCTTGGAAATCGTCCGGGAGACTTCAAGTGAATTGCGAAGTGCTTGAAAGCCCTCACCGAAACCGTGTAGTTATGCCGATGTGATTTAGAAATATGAATAGAGGGTATACAAGTTCCCCTGAATAATGTGTTGAGTGCAGTTGATGAGTGGAATCTACAGGATAGATTGAATGATGTGTCCTTGCTTCACAAAAACAAAAATCCATATGATTAAAATTGGACTTCATTTTTAGTCGCTCTTCACTGCAAAACTAACTTTCAAGAGGCTCCCGTGTTTATCGTGTTGTCTCGCAGAGTAAATTGAATCTTCTCCTTTACAGAGCTCTGCGGAGGAGTGAAATGGGAGTGTGGTGTACAGAGAGGGCATGATTTATTTATAAACCCTGCTCGCATACGGTTTACAAATCTGTGTCAAGCCTGGCCGTTTGTTTATTTGCGTCTTTCGAAATCCACAGTTGTGCAGTTGTTGCCGAAAGACATTTGCTGTTGGCTTGCAAGTTTCACTGTTTGCAAAGATCACTGTTTGCAGCTGAGATGGAAAAAAGGTTTGAGAGTTTAATTAATTGATGAGTAAGTTTCAGAAGAAGGGAGCTGATTCATCTGTCTGTGGTCATACATTAAAAAATTATTTTCCTGTCCGTTTCTTTGTTTCAGCCTAAACTGTACAGATCTGTGATCGAAGACGTGATCAATGACGTCCGAGAGCTCTTCCTGGATGAGGGAGTGGATGAGCAGGTCCTCATGGAGCTTAGAACAGTACGGAGTCTCGTTTTCCCACTTCCTGTCTGTCAAGTTTGCAGAAGTGTCATGGACAGAAGTTTTGACTGCTGTAATTTGCTGTGGTGGCCTGTTTGCATTTTAAAAGACAGCAGCAGTCCTTAATTTGTGTAGCAGATATTTTGACATTTGACATTATAGAACATTAAAAAACCCCACGAGTGTTGCTTTCTGAAATAAACATTCACAGAGTTGTGAGATTCCCTTCCAGTTCAGTTTCTAAACTTTGAAAACTGTCCCCCAGTTTTCAAAGAGGCGGAGCAGTGGCTCTGTGGCTCAGGATCTGTGCCTGTGGCTGGAAGGTTGAGGCAGAGGAGTCCTACTCCGTTGGGCCCCTGAGCAAGGCCCTTAACCCCAACCGCTCTAGGGTTGCAGTACAATGGCTGACCCTGCGCTCTGACCCCCAGCTTCTCTCCCTGTCTGTGTGTCTCATGGAGAGCAAGCTGGGGTCTGCAAAAAGACAAATCCCTAATGCAAGAAATTGTATAGGGCTAATAAAGTGATCTTATCTAGTCCAGTCCAGTCCCCTCCCCTCTCCCCTGATTCCTCGACCAGGGCTCTCAAGAAGGAAGCGTCTCCCTTGCAGTCCGCTCGACCAGTGCTTTCACTCTTCCTCGGGGGTCTGCTGGCGCACGGCTCCCCTTTTGCTATTCTGTCATTTTAGCTTTTACTGTTTGTAATAACATCCTCTAGCCGGTTTTATTATGAACAGGAGTGATTTCTGCAGAGAGGCTCCTCGAGCCTTAGAGGAGTGGGCGGGGGTGTGCGGGTTTGGGGGCTCCCCTGGCGCTGTGGGGCGCGAGCTGTTGAGTGTCCCGGCGTCCCAGCGGCTGCTCCTCTCCTCTCCGCAGCTGTGGGAGAGCAAGCTGATGCAGTCCAAGGCGGTGGAGGGCTTTCACACGGAGGAGCAGCAGATCCTGCAGGCGCAGCAGCAGCAGCAGCAACAGCAGCAGCAATCCCAGCAGCCCCAGGTCATCATTCCGCCCGCCCAGCAAGGTGAGCCCCCCCCCCATCCCACCCGGGGTCGCCTGCCTCGGCTCCAGGGCTGGGGGCCGGGGGGTCCCCGTGCTGTGTCCGGTGGCGCCAAGACTCCTCTGGCCCGCCAGCCTTGGGGTGGAGCATGTCTCGGGGAACGCAGGCCTGTACCAGAGGCTCAGCGCTGGCTGGAGCACTGAGGTGCATCTCTCTCTGATGGAGCCACGATAGGGGGGGTGGGGGGCATGGGGGCTTCCAAGAGCCGAGAAAGCAAAACCCCGACTGATCAATCAGGTTAACTGGCATTGGTGCAATCCTGGTCAGTGGACTGGCCTCCTCAGCATGCACTCGGGAGAGCACCTCTACCGGTCAGCCTCCTGCGTTCGTTTAAGCATTAAAACCCCTGAAAGGGAACAAAGGGGTCTGTTTCTACTGCTTCTACTAACGCATAGCTGCGGAGGTGAGAACATTATACAAGGTGTGTTTCGTTCATAGTTTTTATTGACGTATAAAAATGGTCATATGGACAGATTTACATGTTTTCTGTATTTGTGCGTAGCTTTAATGCCCTTTGTTTGAAATAATACATTCTTTTGTTAATGGCAGTGGAACTTAATAGGCAGAAGTTAAGTTGTTTGCTGTGCAGGTTATTGATCTTAAAAGTCTTTTTTTTTTTTTTTTTAAAACTCCGGGTTGTGCATCAAAATTTTATCTTTTTCTCTTTTGATGTAGCTCCCCAGCAGCAAGTTATTGTACAAGATTCAAAATTACTACAGCACATGAACGCCACAGGGATGGTAAGCCTTTACATGTTTGTGTGAATGCATTTATTCATCCTAGGGATTTCCGAAGTCTGTAGCAATCGCGTGTCTGCGAGGGTTATGTAATGTGTTCGTGAGCAGCGATGAACGCCCTGTTAATGTCCGTTGCTTAGTGCTGGTGTGGCCTTGCGCCCTGCGTGCCTTTGGAGCAGCTGCCATGAAGAGAGTCTGGGTGGACTCATCTTGTCGGAGCTGGGAATTTCAGACCGGCATCAGCGAGCTGTCCCACTCGGTTTCCAAGTCCAGATAGCTGACATTAAAAAAAAATCGCTCCGAACACGTGAAGCATGATCCAATGAGTGAAGCTCCGTGGAAATGCATTGGGAGCTGAGAATGAGAGGCTCTGCTTTCCGCGTAGTGTTGCCGATGTGGTTTTCCTGGTTTCCTTGGAGAAGCAACTGGATAGGAACCTGGGATCAAATAACTATTAGCAATCCGACGAGCCAGAAGGAATCTCCTTTACGACTTTTATGCTTTTAGTTCCGTGATAGCCATTAAAATGCTGTTTTTATATTTCAGGGCTAGAAAGAATCGGCATTAATGTGTGTATTTCAAACCACAATAAAAGTTAAATGTGAATTGGAGATTTAACACATTACTGTGTACATCAATATAGACAGTTTCCAGGTATGTGCAGCACCGTATTCTGAGATTCAGAGCGAGGCAACAAAATGTCTGGTGCAGCGAAGCAGCCCCAGCAGGCTTGTGACAACATCTCTTTTAATCCGATAGAAATATTGCTCTCAACTTCCAGACGGTTTTGCCGACAAATACTACTTGTTTACTCTGAACGCAGATCACGTTGGAACAGTTCTGCAGTGAAATGTCTGCCGCACAGCCTGTGCATTTCACTCGTGCGTCACAGTACATCAAGCCAGCACAGTGACTAGTGAGCAGGAACTCACGCTCTCGCCCGTGGAGAGACCAGTGGTTTTCAACAACGAGGTGACTCGCATTACTTTCACAAAGGTCATGATTTTGTGCTGAAATCAGAATTTGCGAAATGCTGCAATACCGTCAATGAATTTATCGAAATTTAATAACCGATCTGAGAAACTTAGGATGCGGTTCCCCCTTAGTGTCTTAAACGGGTCAGGAGGCATAGCCGTTCTCTGAAGAGCCCCCCCGGGTGCGGGTGCGCTGGATCTGTGCGAGGTGTTCTCGTCTGACTGCGCGCGCGCTTTTGTCTCCTTGTGCAGAGCGCAGCCGCCACTGCTGCAACTCTGGCCTTGCCCACAGGTGTCAGCCCCTATCAGCAGCTCATTACCAATCAAGGTAAGGCAGCACTTCGGGGGTTAGCGAGAATCACACCCGTACTTCAACGTGTACTCTTTTTTTTTTTAAAAAGTGAAATGTAGTTCATTTGGGAGCAGTTTGGTTTCTGCTCGTCAAGTTTAACTCTGGTTTCTCGAGATTATCGAGACTGACTTTCCCTTCCTCTTACACCCTTGGTCTGTGACGGAAGAGGACGGGTTCCGCCGGACGTGCTGGCATTAATTGGTGTGTTTGTCAGGTCAAATCCTGCAGGTGGTGAGAGCTCCGAACGGGGCCCAGTACCTCATCCAGCCCCAGCAGCAGGTGGTGCTGCAGCAGCAGGTCCTGCCGCAGATGCAGCCCAGTGGGGTGCAGGCCCCCGTCATTCAACAGGTACGTCCGCCGTGCAGCACAGGCCCGCCCCGCGCCGAGGAGCAGGAGCACAGCTGCGGTCTCCCGTTTGCTTCTCGGCGCGGGACGGGCCTCTGTGTTCCTCTGCCGCTCCCCAGAGGAACTGTAAAGCATGTGTCTGTGCATGCATTGTAAAATAATGTGCAGTTGCCTGAACTGCAAATAAACGCACTGTATCTTTTCCCTCCTCATCCCCCCTCCCCCCCTTTGTCCTTTTTGTCTCTTTTTGTCCTGGCCTTGCCTTAAACACGATAGCTCACAGGCACCCAGCTGTGCTCAGAGGAATGTTGGCTTAGGGACAGCAGATGAGATAGAAGTGCAGCCTCTGAATTCTCCACATTTCTGCCCCATTCTCTCATTTTCATTTTTGTAAATTAAAAGTTGTCTGAATTAGTTTAATGGAACATCTGTTTCTCTATTCAGCAGTGAACTGCGGTGTAGTATCATTGCTGTCTCTTTCCTGTGCATCATGTGGTCGGTGCTCTGCCCTTAGGTCCTGACTCCCCTCCCAGGTGGGATCCCTCAGCAGACTGGGGTTATCATTCAGCCTCAGCAGATCGTCATTGCTGGCAATAAAGTCCCTCAGAATGCACAGGTAGGACACGCTGGGGGGGGACCGTTCGTGCAGTTTGACAGGCAGTTGCTCACGTGCAGTCCTTTAAGTGGTGGTTCGTGCGCTTCCCAGTGCCTGAGCCAGTCGAGGCACTTGCCCGGCTGTAGGGTGGGCTCTGTGATCGTGGGGTTGAGACTGGTTTGTGTCGCCAGCAGACTTGGCTGGATTCCGTAGAGGCGGCCGGGTGCTGGCAGGCGGTGCGATGGTGTGCTGCCCGTGAGGAGTTGAGAGACGAGCAGCTCTGTCTGCGCCTCCCCCTCTCCCCCGTGTGCGGTCACAGGGTTCGTAGTTTCAGCGCGCACACGTGCAAAACACCCGCCCAGCGCGCAAGTGTTGCCTGGGTCGCAGAAAGTCGCTAGCGGCCGAATAATATGCTGTGAGCGCTTTTGTCCCGACAGTCTGCTCCTGCCTCGAGGATCACACACCGTGTGTTCCCGTGTCTGTAAGCGAGCGGTCACGCTTGGCGGGTGCGCTGCCGCCGCCAGCCTCTTCACGCTGTGTGCTTGTGTCGCAGGTCATGCAGGCGGCTCCCATGGCCGCCCCCGCGGGCCAGAGCACCGCGCAGGTGCCGCCGCAGCAGCAGCAGCAGCAACAGCAGCAGCCCGCGCAGCCGCCCATGATGCTGCAGGTGGACGGGGCCGGCGACACGTCCTCGGAGGAAGACGAGGAGGAAGAGGACGAGTACGACGAAGACGAGGAGGAGGACAAGGACAAAGACGGAGGAGAAGACGGTCAAGTGGAAGAGGTTTGTCTCTCTCTTTCTCTGCCCTAGCCCCTCCTGCAGAGTGCAGTCAAGCAAGCCAGAGGCTTTCTCTGTTCGCAGGAGCCTTTGAACAGCGGGGACGACGTGAGCGACGAGGAGGGCCAGGAGCTGTTTGACACGGAGAACGTAGTTGTGTGCCAATATGACAAGGTAAGACGAGGAGCTATAGGCGTTAATCGGAGCCTCAGCTCTGCCGTGATCTGCATCTTCTGACTGCTGCTAACACTTCAGCACTTTTGGTACCGATTTGGAATGCAGGCGCATCATTTTAAAATGGGCGCCGACTGTAGAATTGTCATTGCTCACCGAAAAGCTTCCCTTCTTTCACTTTGAAGGCCAGATTCAGAGTTTTTTTTTTTTCTTCTGCTGGCAGAAAGTTTCAAGTCCCGACAGGTCTTGAAGGTTTAAGGCTTTTGTCTCCTCTACTTCTGAGTGCTGCTGTTCCCAGGCTGGCATTCTGAGACTCGTGGCTTCGGCTGGCCTGAGTTTTCCTGGGCAGCTGGTTCGTGCTCTGGGAAAGCCCTGTATGTGTAGCAGTGCGGTTTCTCCAGTGGAGCTGTTCGTGGTGTGCTTGTATATATCAAGTGCGAACTTTTCAAACAGCACTGTAAACGTCTGAGCACTGTGCAGTTTTAGTCTTGACATTAATTGCCTGTGTTTATTTTAGATTCACAGAAGTAAGAATAAATGGAAATTCCACCTCAAAGATGGAATCATGAACCTAAATGGAAGAGATTACGTATTTTCTAAAGCCATCGGGGATGCAGAATGGTAAAAGTGACTGGTATTTTGTAAAGCAATGCAAGACACATCATGCTTTGGATGATACGCACTTCAGCTGACTTGTGGGGAAAACTGAGCTACTGGAAGTGTTAAATGCAACACTATGATAAGATCAAGCCTCCCTCTTTGTACAGCTTATGTGTGATGTCAATTTGTATACAGGTATTTATAACTTAATATTGCTGTTGACTGGTAAAAACAACTGGAGTCTGGAACAGTGTTTTTATTTTATTTTTTCCCCCACAACGTGCAACCATAGAAATGAAGAGAAAAACTTCAGGGAATCTTTTGGTTTACATTAGCATTCAACAAATTAGATGCAAATTCATAACCCAATTAAAGGCCTGTTTTCTGGGCATACTGAGTGTGAATGGGATAGTTGTTCTCAGATATTTTGCATGGACTCGGGTTAACTGGGAGTCCTGCGGAATACACCTGATCTTGGTCTCATATCTGAGGATGATAGTTTTCAGTGGGGGTACAGTATGAATTTTATTTGCCAGTACTACAGACACTAAGCTTCCATACACCACTCAGCCTAAAGACCGAAATTGCTCATTGGAGTCTTTTAGCAGTTTGATGTCTCCTTTTCACACATCGTTCTGCACAACATAAACTACAGGTATGTTTGTCCGCATCTTGTCGTGTTATACATGGAATCTTTTTTTTTTTTTTTTAAAAACATTCAGTCAATGACATCTGGGATTTTGAGACTTCAGTTTCTGGTTTCACCATGTTGGCTTGGGTCAGTGCAGTATGTTAACAGCCAGGTCATTTGTGTTCCCGTTGTCGGCCGTGTCCAGTCGACAGCAGCAGGAGCCCTGAAGGCTTGTTCCATTCTGGTTGTCCACGAACATCGTCGCTGATGAGCCAAAGCTGCCTGTTAGTTGGATGATGGTTATGTGCTGTACTTCCCTATGTAGTGGGGTATGATATGATTCTTTTTAAACCTTTTTTTATTTATTCCTGTGACATTCTGGGTCAGTGGGAAGTTGGAGCTGGTTAATTTGTGAACAAAACGCACCAGACTGTGCTCTTATTACAATACAAGTGTTCCTTTTACAATTATGTTGCTTCTTTTCGGCTTTTAGATTTACTTCATGTGTTCCATCTGGAGCGGTTTCCTCTTCTTATTGTACTTGAATTTTAATCATAGTTTTTTGTTTAAACGTTTCAGTTCATTTCATTCGGGAGTCTTTATTTCAACTTGAATTTGTTTTTCTTTCTGTGGTGGTTTTTGTTTAAGCAGTGCAGTATTGCATAATTTGACAATTAAAGGGTATGTCATTTTTTAATTATTAATCTTGCACATAGCTTGGTTGTGTTAAGCCTTTTAAAGCTTAGTCATGGTTAAGGAGAGTTGTCTTTCAGTGTACTGTGTCAATACCTGACTTTAGCTGATGTACACAATCATTCAGAATTGGAGCTAAGGCACAACTAAAATATGGACTACTCAAAATTTCAAACGAATCTAGTACATCTGCTAATGTATCGATTGAACAATTCTGTCCCTTGACAGAAACAACTAATTTGTTCAGTTTTCTTACATAAAAATGTGAAGCTTACCCATAACAGCCTCCTTTTCAAATACAACTTTTAAGTGAAGTTTTGTTATTGCATACATTTGTGTTTGTGCCTTTGATTTTATTTCAGAATTCAGGTCTCCTGTGTCTGGAAGGAGAAAAGTGGGCTTTGAACATTGTGTACGTCAGCTTGTTCCATTCAGATAAACCCTGTTTTCTACTGTTAATCTACCATTTGTTTCAACTGCTGTTGTACATACTGTATGTGTAAGAGGGAAATCTATTTATTATGTTTGTATAATTCATTCTATACTGTTTTCAAATCAAGGTTGCTCTTTGTAATTTACACTGTCATCTGTTAAAGGCCACGCTTTGAATACAATTAGAGAACGTAGTATTTTGTTGTACTGAGACCTATTTTGAGTTACCTAAAACAATTTGCCTTTGCTAAACTTTTAATTAAAAGTATTAAGAAAAATCTGTGTGGTCTGTGACATTAGCTACCAGGTCTAGATAGAATGCAGACTCTCTCTTTTGTAAGGTCCAAAACCAGAAATATCTGATGCATAATTTGCATTTAATTAACTGATGAGTAATGATATTAGGGAGTCCAATTTAGTGTTATGATAACCTGTTTCAGGTGTAGTTAGGCATGTTTTTTTTTTCTTTTTCAAGTTTTAAATTTCCATGCTGCTCGACTTCAAGGTCTGAATATTTAGCATTTTAGTTTTACAAACTTCCTGTGATGTTGTCTTCAACCAGTAGGGGGCAGACGTCGAACAGTCTTTGCATTTTGACTTTGCAGTTCACAGAAAGTTATGGACCATGCAACACGGAGAGCACCAGGATTACTTAAACCTTGTTTTAGTTAGTTTAGTGTAGCTTTCATAAAGATGTTACATTCTTTAAGTGACCAAATATGTGGTATTTGTTTTTGTTTCCGAAAATACCTAAATTTCCTTACCAGCTAGTGTTGCTGTCGGACATTCTAGCAGGTTGTAAATGTTGGTAGATTACAAAGAAAGTCATGGAGTGCCTTTGAGCATGCAGTAAAAACACTTAAACATTCCAGCTTCCATCCGGTTTCTAACCACTTCTTCCAGTTCAGGGTCACGGGGGAGCTGGAACGTATCCTGGGAAGCAGCAGGCACAAGGCAAGATATTCGCTAGAGAGGACGCCAGTCCATTGCAGGGCACGCAGACAGACCCGCACACTCTCACGCCAGGGCCAGTTTACACACAAGCCAAATAACCCACCAGCATGTCTTTGGACTGTGGGAGGAAACCCATGTGAACCCAGGGAGAACATGCAAACTCCACGCAGATGGTAGCCCAGGTCTGGAATTAAACCCGGGACCCCAGTGCCACTGTTGTTGAGCTCCCTGGGTGATTAAGTATGCCACTCATTGCTCTTTAAATTAATGGTATCCCAAGTTCTTACTTGGGTATGATGAATCCTACAAAGTTTTCATTTCAGACTAAACCTTTTATTACACACATGTCTGAGCTGAATAACTTACTATAATTCTTACTGTAGAATACCCGAGAGATTAGTGAAGTAAAACGTTCAGCAGTCTGTGAAGTCTATGGTGGCAAGCTGTGGAAGTTTTGAGATACTGCAGTCTATTAAGTAGACTTTTGTCCTTCAAATATGTTGACCACAGTGATGAAATTGTGATGTTATCCTCCTTTGAGGTCCAGGCAGTGTGTTAGCTATAAAGGAAGAAGAGGTTTATTCCACACTGAATAAATAGAAAAACATTTAAGCTGTTCAGTCTCTTCAGGTGTAGGGTGGAGAGTGAGTCAAAATCCTGATATCTTAAAAAAAAAAAAATACAGGGTTTGTTAGTTGATCAAAATTCTCAAAATCTTATTTTTTCCCCAACAGGACAAGATACAGCGGTACAGTAATACTGTTACATTTCACTTTGGTTATGAGGAAAGTGGCCGTTTAAACTTGATATCACCTGTGGGAAAGGTGTTCGTTTCCAGCAGCTGCTGCTCGGATGCTTATCTGATCAAGAATGCGAATCCTTGAGCTTTTAGACCACTTCGGGGTGTCCTCTGGGGAAAAAGCACTCCAGCTTTAAGAGAATTTACAGGTCTGTCAGAGACCTAACCATCCGAGTAAAAATTCTAACTCTGCAAATTGAAATAGATGTTTTTCAGACAGTTATAATCTGAAATGATGGTTTGTGTTGCCAGAAAGACTAAATGTGATTTGATTTAATACAGTTTTCATCCTTCGGGAATGAATCCTAAAAACAAAATATAATATTGATGATTTTTAAATGTGGGCTTTATGTTAGGGGGGAGGGATGGGTAGTTATTTATTTTTGTCTGAGATAAAGATAATTTATGGTACGTTTGAATCTCACTTTGTATTTAGTTTAACACTGCGCCAGCTAGTGGTCTTGTGTTAGAATCGTGCCTCATTTTATCACCACCTAGGTTTTGTTTTGCTTCTGCTGTATTGTCACAGTTAAAATTGCTGTCCCATGCAGCCTGAGCTACTGTCTCCACATGATTCGGGATTAGAGAGCCCAGGAAAAAATGATCAGGATCGCCAGCACTAAACTGTAGCCGTCTTCACAATTGACACCCACTGAAAGAGTGGGGTTCGACTTGGCCACTCTCTGCTTTCCTGTCAGAATTCGTAGTGGTTGTTCGGCCCGGATTTCTGCCTTGTTGTCAAGCACTAAGATGTTTATTGTCCTTGTAAGTGCCTTTTTAAAAATAAACTAAAATATTAAAGATGTTGACAAGCGTGAGTATTGGCACGGGAGCTTTCATCAAAAGCAGTTATCTGCGCAGGGTTCCCACGGTCGTGAAAATGAAATTTCATTTTCGAGGCCTGGAAAAGTTTTGAAAAATGGCAAAATATCCATTAAGTTTTGGAAAAGTCATGGAATTTTTTTTAATTGACCCAAAATGATCATAGCTGTATCAGGTAATTTTGTTAATAAGTTACCACCCTTTTTAAAAGAGGCGGCGGCGTTGCTGTTGCTGACATGACCCCTTATGGTGTTGCGTCCGACCCTCTTATGGGAATTTTATAGTGAGCTGTAAGCTAGCCTAGCACCCAGGTCAGAACGCCGGGTAAATGTGTTTTCAGTGACCGCTGGTTAGCAGATGAAAAATACATGCTATGGCTCCAAAAAGATGAAGACCCAGGACGTGCGAGATGTAAATTATGCAGGAAAAGAAGTTATGGAAAAGTCATGGAGAGGTTTTAGAATTTTGTTGGTAAAATTGAGTGGGAAGCCTGTCTGCAGAAGCCTGCTCTTCTGGTGTCGGGCTGACCCTCACAGACTGCAGAGGGAATCTAGCCTGGCAGCTGTCCTTCCAGGCAGGAGGAGAGAGGGCCGAGCAGGGCCCACGAGCATCAGCGCTGGGAATGAAGGGTGTCTGCTGTGGAGGTCTACAGAGGCTTTCTCTTAAAGCACATGGAGCCTGTCTGGCCAAATTGTGTATGTTTAAGAATGAGGAAGCCCCACAGCATTTACACTGAGGCTTCTTGCATTTTACATAATCCTGCATGTTAATTACTGTGCAACATCAGTTTTAGGCTTTGTAAAGGTTTGATAAGCGGCCGTAGCAGTTTCCAATGGTCCCTCCAATAGCATTTGCCAGATGTTTTGCTCTTGTTTGCTGGACGTATAATGCCTGGGAATTAAGAATGAGAACTTGATCCCCTGTGGATTGAAGGAATGTGTCGGACTGTCAGTGTTTTGATTAGTCTTAAACTTGATTTGTAATTGAGCGATCTTTGAGGATTACCTCAGCCGTTAATTTCCATTGAGAGCTCTAGGGTTTTTTTAAAAAAAAAAACAGCCATCAGCTGTAACAACAGAACATGAACTTTTTTCATGTTTTGCGAATGCTGGTAATTTGTTGATCAAAACACTGAAGTTTTTTTATTGTTTGAATCTGGTGTGATGCTGTACTCCTATTTTTCTTTCTTAATCACAGAACTGCATGTAAATGTTCATGTAAAATCAACACTACAAGCAAGCACTAGGGTTTACTCAGGCTCTCACTCAATCCTCCTTCACTGTTACTCATATTAGATACTTTTGTTTCATCTTGAAATTAAAACATCTCATCTCTCTATTCAAATTCTGTAAGCAAAAGAAAATAGCACATCTTAGTTCTACAGCAGTGCTGTTTACTTAATTAGATTCTTTGCCCTGTGAAGTTTCTAGCATACTGAAGAAAATGCTTTGAGGACTCGTTCTGGAGGTTTGCCATGCTTATTAGTTTCAAGAGCTCCTTAAAAGCCATTCAGAAGCCAAAAGTAACGTAAGCGCTCAGTGCTTTTAAAATCAGAAATGGTACATGGGCCAAAAACACAATATGCCATTTTATCATACTGAAAGACAGACTTGTTTGTCCGGACTTTTTTTTAATTAATATTTGTGTAATGTACAGCATTACATCTTGCTGAAACCCCAAATGGTCTTTCTCTAAATCATGGCACTCTCTGGAAAGGTATAATAGCTGACCATTAAATTAAGGAATAATAACATACTGTTTACTCAAACAATTAAGCTGTTTTGTTGACTAAAAGGTAGACCTGCTGTGTGGTGATTTAATTTTATTAATTATATTGTTTTGTATATAGCTGGAATGTTCTTAAAATAGTGGCGTTTGTTGTTTTGCATCAACAGCCTCACAGCTGTAACGCAGTATGAGGCTGTGTCCTCAGCTGATTTGCACAGTGAAAGTCCTGAGCTGCTGGCATGTTACAGACGCCCCATATGAACTCTTGTATAACCATTAAGTGTTCTGGGCCCTCGGTTCCCTACAGACAAAGGAGAAGTTTAGACTCAGGCCATTTTCAAGTAGGAGTTTTGAATAGGCAGAGGTCTGTGTGAGAGAAGCTCTAAAGTGGAAATAAAAAAAAAACATCAAGCAAGAGGCGAATACCTGGTCCCAGGAGTTCAAGCTGTACACTAGAGAAGGTTTCCTTCACTCTCGCCCTCCCTGCCGAAAATCACTGTGCTGTTAGTGGGAGCCATCTTGTACAGACCAGTCTTCCAGCCAGATAAACGGGACAGAAGATTCAGCTCTAAAGGGACTGTTCTTATTTCCACAACTATATTTTTTGTAGTGTGGCACCACTACAAGAGAGTAAACCCCTCTGAGTATTTTGATTCAGTATTTGATATAAGAAAGGGTATAATGAATTCCTTCTGGATAGTATCAGGTATGGGACGAGTAAAGCCTTTTAGTTTCAAAGAGCAGCTAAACCGACTCCACAGTTGTAAGTGAAAGTTTGGGCACCCCGGGCAAAATTACGTGTTGATTTTGAAGTTGAAGTGAAAAGAAGTTAACAACTACTGCAGTGAACAAACTTAAACTTGACATATTTCTGCAAATGTTAATGCAAGGTTACTATTATTTTCTGAATTAACAGATTGAAAAATTAAAACAGTCAATGTGATCCAGCTGATCCGCTAGTGTTATTTTTTTGTAAGGTCTCAGAACTTAATTGACTTGTTAGGCCTTAATCTAAGTCAGGTGATGACAATTCCAGAGCTTAATTAATTATCTGACTTTAAACCTATCAGGATGTTGTACTTACACTCAACAACCATGGGCTCCTCGAAGCAGCTGACTGAGGATCAGAAAATATAGATAATTGACTTAAAAGGGGAAGGCTATAAAAAGATAGATATATATACACACTTCCTGCTTGCAATTTCCACTGTCCGAAATGTCATTAAGAAATAAAAGTAAAGGGTAACCTTTGAAGTCAAGACAAGATGTGGAAGACCAAGAAGAATCTCAGACAGAACTGCTTGTAGACTGGTCAGGAATGCAAAGCAAAAAACCCCAGATCACTGCAAAGGACCTGCAGGAAGGCTTAGCTGGCACAGTAGTGGTGCACCAGTCCACTTGCACAAACATGACCTGCATGGAAGAGTCATCAGATGGAAACCTTACCTGCGATCTCATCAACAGTCAATGTCTGAAGTATGCAACACAACACTTAGATGAGCCAGAGGCATTTTGGAACCAAGTGCTGTGGTCTGATGAAGTAAAAATTGAACTCTCTGGCTACAATCACCAAAGGGACATTTGGAGGAAAAAAAAGAGAGGCATTTGAAGAAAAATACACCTTGCCAACTGTTAAGCATGGGGGTGGATCTGTTATGCTTTGGGGTTGTGTGGCAGCCAGTGGCACAGGAAATATTGTGCAGGTAGAGGGACAAATGGATTCTACTATCAACAAATCCTGGAAGCTAATGTCCCACAGTCGGTGAAGAAACTGAAGCTGAAAAGAGGCTGGATATTCCAAGAAGACAATGATCCAAAACATACCTCAAAATCAACCAGGAGTTACTTAAAGAAACGAAAGATTAAGGTTTTGGAATGGCCTTCACAGTCCCCAGACTTGAATATTATTGAAAATCTGTGGGTAGATCTCAAACATGCAGTTCATGCAAGATGACCTAAGAATATTTCTGAACTAGAAGCGTTCTGCAAGGAAGAGTGGGAAGAAATTCCTAAAGCAAGAACAGAAAGACAGCCTGCTGCAATAAACATTTGGAGGCTGTGATTTCTGCCAAAGGGGGTGTTACTAAGTTCTGACTGATATGGTGTCCAAGCGTTTGCACATGCCACATTTACGGTTTTATTTTTTTCCATCTGTTAAATTCAGCAAATAAATAGTAACTGTGCATTAAAATGTCAGGTTTAAGTTTGTTTGCTGCAGAGGTTGTGTTAACTTCTTTTCAGAAAATCAACAAAACATGTGATTTGGCCAGGGATGCCCAAACTTTTGCAAACACCTGTCTAACCTCATGTAGCTCTTTACTGCTTATTGAGTTTCTGTCTTGTTAGGAAGGTGTTGGAATCTAAGACCGAGAAAACTGAGTGGCAAAATCTAGGTACAGTAGATACCCATAAATATTGAAAATAATAATCAGTGTGTCGTTTGTTCTTTTCATTTTGCAAATTGACTTTGAAACCATGCTTTACATTCTGACTGATCTATTATATATATATAGACTGTTTTATTACTTAGAAATTCGCTTTTTAGACAAGCTAGTGCTAGGACCTGATTTCTCACTCAAAGTTAACCTTATTAATTCTCTTTTTTCTATTACGATTAGTGTCAGAGCAGGAGCATTCCGGATACGTCTCGATCAATTAAAATACTACTCACTGTTGGTAAGAAGTTGTATTTGGTTTTCAGAAAAGAACTTACTGGTCATGGTTTCCTGTTTTTTTTACTATGCTAAGAAATAAAGTTGTGGGAAAACACCATTAAGAGAGACACGGAAATCCTCAGCAGACAGGCTTTATTTACATGCAAGTTCACAATTTATTCAGCTGCATGTGTGCCGCCCATTATTCAAGCTCAGCAGAAGTTTAGATGACTTCCAAGTGGTGTATTTGTTCAAATCTCAAAATTACAGAAACTTGCGGAATTTACAGAAAGCAGCAATAATGGCCAAATAAGCTCAGTGAACACTCTTCATTTGTGTCAGAAATAGATCTGCTGGACTGCTGGTGGACGTGCCATCCGGCCACCCAGCCTGCTTTTGGACAGAACATCTGCAGACCTGTTGGTCACTCTGGGGCTTGAATGAGAAAGGAGCTGCTTCATAACCTAGTAGAGAGTGGCGCTGTATGGACACACGCAGGTGTGTGTGTGTCCATCGACAGGCAGATGTTAACCTTTTTGTATGCTTTTAGCATAACGGCTTTAGACACACAAAGTGCCGATCTAATGAAACTTGGGAAAAACATGCGAATCTAAGTTCTTGATTAAAGGTTTTAATCAAGAACTTAGAAATGTCTAAAGATAAACAGGTCCTGTCAGTGCTGGCCAATTAGTTTCCATGGTAAAAGTATCCTAAAAGCTTTCCACATAGATTTATACTGAACATTTATATTTAAGCCAGCAAATAGTCCTAATGCCCTTAAATAAATTAAAATACACTTCAAGAAGTCCTGAAATGACCTTATTGCCTTTCTGATGTTCTGAATGAATCATCCACAATTTCAAGGGCTGACATAAGCAGTGCATTAAAATTGTTGCACCGCGTTGCAGCAATCAGGAATGAGCTGCTCAGTTATGCTTTCAAACCTGTTGCCCTGGAGTCCTACAGTAAGAACATGGATGAGATTTTCTGCTCTGATCAATTAGCTACTGTTCACCAAATGAGCTGGGAGCGAAAGGGCAAATGACCTCATTCCGTTTATTACTTCCAGGTCACAGTGAATGAAAGTCGGTTTATAAACAATACTTAAAAGCTCATCTGAAAACTTGCAAAAACATTTATCCGTATTAAAGGAGCCTATTTAAAACCACTCAGTAGTTCTTGTAAAACATAATATTGTAGATCTACATCAAGACAGACCGCTTTAAATACAACTTATTATACAACAGCCAACATAGAAACAAATAATATGCCAAAGTGCAGTACAAAATACTGGCTTGCCCTTGTCTTCTTTCTTCAGTGTAATAACATCGCTTCCAGTTACTCTTCTTCTTTTTGATCTCACAAAATCACCTTGAATCGCTTGATTTGCTTCTAATATCGTTCATCACACACTTTTCATTCCCTTCTAGTTCTCTTTGTTCTTGTTGCTTGTTCCCTCTATATAAAGCAGAAAGAATGAAAAGCTCGGAGCCACAATGCAACGCAAGTGCAGGATCGCCCAGTGCGCAGGAGGTCTAACATGCAGATGTTTGGGAACGCGCGTGCTGAATGTAGTCTTCTGGATCTTTCTGCCGCTTTGCCAGTGGGGGGCGATTTTCATGTGTTGCCATGCGGTGCGGATATTCATTCAGCTTGATGAGCGTCTGTGCTGTGCCCTCACTGGTGCGCTTGCTGCTCAAAGCACTGCTTTTACTGGAAATGGTCTGTCCTCGGTAAAGCTGCGCTTTCTGCTCGCAAAAGCCGATCCTGCTCAGCAAGATGAACACGTCCCCCTGGAAGGCCTTGGTGAAAAAGGCGTAGAGGAAGGGGTTGGCGCAGGAGTTCAGTGGGTAGAAGAGCACCAGCAGGATCTTGGAGTTGGAGACCGTGATCAGCGGCTTGTTCAGCACTGCAGACATGGCGTAGAAAGAGATGGGAGCCATGCAGAGGAAATCAGTGAAGATGAGCACAGCCATCCTCTTGGCGATCTTTGTGTCCTTGTTTCCAGAGTGGTAGTGTGGGTTGCGAACTGTCCAGTAGATTTTAAAGTAGCAGACGCAGATCACGAAGAAAGCAACGATGTTCATGACCAGGACCAGCATGATGTAGACTTCGGCAACAGTTGAGTGTGTGTCCATCGGCAGGCAGATGCTGACCTTTCTGTAGCTGCTGACCCCCACAATGGGAAGCAGAGCCAGGAGGAAGCAGAAAACCCAGCCAGTCAGCATGATGATGGAAGCGTGGCTGAGACGCACCTTCCTGTCCAGCCTCATGGCAAAGCTGATGGCGTGCCAGCGCTCCAGAGTGATCATGGTCAGGGTGTACACAGACAGCTCACTTGAAAAGACAGTGAAGAAGCCAGCGAGGTTGCACCCTGTGCCAGTCTGCCAGTCAATAGCGTAATTGTAGTACTCAGACCGGGTATGATGGTCTACAGAAGCAATTAGCAAGAGATAGATTCCCATGCAGAAATCTGCAAAAGCCAGGTTGCACATGAGAAATCGCGGGACGGTCAGTTTGTAGTGGCTGGTTAGCAGAATCAGCAGCACAAACAAGTTCCCGACAATGGCCAGCAGGCTGACGAACCAGACTGTGATTCTCAAGGCGTTGTAGCCCATGATGTCCTCGCAGGGGTTGAATTCGTCGGGCTCGGGAGTGCAGACAATTTCTTCGTCGTCTTCGCAGACCGTGTAATCATACTGGCTCTCGAAATCCTGGTAAGTGTCTTCTTGTGGATTTTTTAGGGTGTCCCCAAATCCAACATCTGTGTCGGGCTGCCCCTCGATATAAACGTAGTTGTGGCGCTTGCTGTGGAATTCACTGGCCTCTGCGGTGTCTTGTGATACAGCGGGCTCCAGGTCTGTGTCCTCCTCAGCATAGCCCGGGCGCGAGGGCACTCTGAAAGCCCTTGCTGACCTTCTCTGTCGGAACTCAGCGAAATTGCTGAGGTTGCATATGAGGAGTTCTAGGTAACTGAGGGAAATGTTGAGCAGATAGGCTTAGTGTTCTGACCTGAAGCTACTGTTCTGTACTAAGTCTGTTCTCAAAAGTAATTCAAAACTTCCAGTTATACTTGTCTATAACATTTTTTGATAATTACAGGACATTAGAAATGTCTACATATATACTGATTCTATCAGTTCTGGGCAATTAGTTCCTATGGTAAAAGTAGTCTAAAAACTTCCACAGAGATTTTATCCTGAACATTTATATCGAAGCCAGCAAACAGGTTTAACTATCCTTAAACTGAAGGAAATTAAATTAATGGGGGCATCAGAACACATCAAGCAGTTCTGAAAAATACTTTGTTGGGAATGAATCATCCATAATTTCAAGTTCCGATAAAAGCAACATGCAACATTTAAAAAAAAAATGAAATCATGAAATGAATTTTTGTTGTTCTGCTCACCCTTTCCTTTTCTTCAGGTTCTTAAACCCACAGCAGTGGCTGGGGTAGGTGAGCTCAGCGCTCATTAGGTACAGAAACGTCTTAATTGGGGGCAGTTTCTTGAGAGTCCACGTGTTTCGTGCCAGCAGCTCCCTGAGGTTCTCCAGACCTTTTGTTGGTAGAGAGGTCACCCTTGTCTGAGAGACATCACTGGAGAATAAAAACAGACAAAGGTCTTACGACAGCACAACAGCTAGAGAGTTTTCCCCCTTAAAAGTTGAATAAAACATTGCTGGAATCCTTCCTGGGCAGTTGTAAAGCCTTTTACAGGTTTAAATGGCTTTAGAGATTTAAAGATGTTCTTTCCCTGCACCTTGAGTGGAAACACGACCTACTGTAGTTACTGCATCAGCTGTATCTGTTTGTAACTTGGTGGTTTGTGGTCAAATACATTTCTTGTTTCATAGGAATCAGAGTTATCATTCATGAAGGGGGTATAATCCTTTGTAAGAAACAGGTTTCAGAATATTTATTTGAAAAACTTCAGAATGTTTTTTTTTCCAAGTGTCTTGAGGAGTGTTTTAGTGAAAGGAAAGGAAATGCTGTTACACACAGTCATTACAAATAAGCTTGTGGCATTGACGCTTGCAGTGTTGCTGAGCACACACCTGCTCTCCTCAAGGGTGGCCAGGCCTGTTTCTGGGGAGCAAGTCTATCAGGTCTTATAGATAACCCTCAAGTCACCAGTTTCTAAAGACTTGGAACATGTAGGCTTTGAGCATTTTATTTGTTTAAGTCATTGAGACTTACAGGGTGTTGAGAGTTTCGCTTCAAATAACCACAATTGAACAAAACGCTTGTTCAGTTGGCCAAAGTAAACACTGGCCAGTTGTTTTTTACTTTAATGCTCTGTTTTAATTAAATTTAATATCCTGTCTAGAGTAACACACATGCCATGTTACTTTTTGTGAGGTTCACAGTCCAAAGTAAAATAACAGCGACATGTGCATTCTACTGTCTGAGACTTGAGCGTCTTCAGCTGCTTCCTGAATGTTAACTTCCAAACTGCCTTGAACAGAACACAGTCTCTGGTCACTTGACTGCTTTCTTAGACATCACAAAGACTGCAGACATTTTTGGAACATTTATGAATTGCAAAAGCTTTACACAAAAGCTACAGTTTACCAGTTACTCCTATAAACGCCTGCAATAAACAGGTGTAATAACTTTTCTTTCTAAAATGACACCACCATGCCACCCTCAGTAGCTCTAATATAATTTGTAATGATCCTCATTATAAATATTAAAGTGTATACACAAATATAAATGGTTTTTAATTGCAAACTGGGCCAAAGAGTAAGTACTGTGCTGTAAGCAATGGCCAGCAGATCAGTTACTAAGTCTTTTTCCTCCTGGGAAATTGTGCAATACATATTAAAACGCCTCAGCTGTGAGTGTCTGATTTTAACATATTTAGCCAACTGCATCATCACCAGGACTCCTTTCCAACTTGTTCATGAAAGGGCTCGGTGACACTTGAGCGTGAAGTTGTTAAAGCAGTATGATTTAAACAGAGACGATCACAGAGTAGCTGTGAGGTACAGGGTTTCAATATAAGTGCTTAACTGTTATTAGGGAAATGAAAATCATCTTGACGTTCTATGTACTGTACATCCAGCAGTACAGTGCAGCTCGAAGTGTGCATTCATTTAGTCAAATAATATCTAGTGAAGAACTGGGGGAGTCATTTTTGGAGGAACACGCAAAAACAATGGCGCTGGTACAGTAGGTGCCCAGCTGCCTCCGGCCATGTTCGCCTTTGGCAGGGTTTCAGTTTTGAAAACTCCTGTCCTGTTATCAGGGCACAAAGTGAGCACGTCAACCTGGCAGAAGGGAGAAATAATCGATTTTGGGAACGAATGCTCCTCCTCCCCTGCTGTTGAAACTGTTGTTTTTATGGAGGCCAATGTTCATAAGGGCATAGAAGATATAAAATGCATTATCACAGTAGTTTTTTCAATACTATGCTACGTTTTTAATGTAGAGAATTTTTTTGACGTTTGGAATGAAACAGAATGACTGGATTAATTGTTCCAATTTGTGAAAATAAAATATAAATGTAACATAAATAGGGTTATCTAAAAAGTTTTTTAAATTTGCCATAAACTCCTCTTTGTTTTCTGTTTAACTCAGTGAGTTTTTAATCTATCCAGTCTTTCCTTTTCATCTTAAAAAATTTTGGACACATTTTTAGGACAGTAGCTCTTAGTGTAGTTAAAAGAACTGTAATGCGTTGTACATAATGTAAACAACACAATGTATATATTATGTACAACATGCATAATATATAATGTATACATCAGTACTGTGTCTAAGCTGGGCCATATAGATTTGCCAGTGAAAAGTTAGGATTATGTGCAAGGTGGTGTCCATGTCTCGAGCTTCTGCTACATACTGTACAAAGAAAGCAGAGGCAGTTTTTGCCATCTTGCTTTTCACAGGGGTCACTCTCCCTGCTGCCCAGTCTCAAGCAGTGAGAGTGAGTGTGAGGCCGCGGAGCGAAGCAGGCGGAGGCAGGTGCTGTATACTCACAGAAGAGTGGGTCCACCGATAACCCCTGCAAATGCCTTCTCATTGATTCTGGCCAGGTGCCTGTTCCTGTGAAGATATCTGGAGAAAAACAGATTGCTTGTCAGAAGAGAAAAGTACGAGGGTCCAGTTTCAGGCACTCGGTGTCCTCCAAGGCACTGACAAAGCCCACTCGGACTTCCTCAGAATGAAGTGAACAAGGAAGTACACTAGTTCTGCACTAAGAACAGGAGGCACTTCTGTACACTAAAGGTTGTGGGGCAAATGGAACAAACTACCCAGCCATGTTGTCAAAGTCCATGCCCTGGCTTCTTTCAAGAAACAGATGCATGAAGTCCAGGGATCCATTAGCGACTATGAAACAAGCTGGAGGAGCTCATTTGTAACCTTTCTGATCTTCTTATATTACCAGGTATCAGAACAGCTTCACTTTCTAGAGCTCCTACTCCTGTTCATTAGTACATACAGTATACAGTATGTGATGAACTGAAATAACTCAGTCACCTGACAATCTGCAATTTGTGGAAAATTGTACAGGGCTTTGAGGTGTGTGCCATAAAAGCTGCTCTATAAATAAAGTTAGTTCTTTGATATCCCTTTTTTACCTTTTTTTTTCTTGTTTTGAAAAATAAATAATGCACTCATAGCATTCTGGCAGTGTCTCTTATTGTTGAAGACTGCATTACTAATGATAAGGATGTAACATTGAAATTAAAAAAAGCATCAACTATACAATCCTAAAAACTTGCCAGCAGAAAAAATAGAACAGTCATTTAATCTATTTAAGTTTTTAAGACTATTCGGAATGACACAGTATTAATGTTATTTATATTAGTAGCTTTGTAATAAACAAAGCACTTCCAAATTATGCTGTTCCTTTAAAATACTTTAAAATCCCTAAATCTAATTGTAACAATGAACTAAGTTCAAGTATTTGTCATGGTTTTAGTGCACAGGGATCAGTTTTTGCACTGAGCTCTCCCCTTGCCAGCACAAACAGTGCTGTGGTAAAACTCACAAGGAAGACTACAGTATTGCTTAATTGTATCCCCATCTGAGGCTGCAGGGTCAGATAGGAGGGCAGACACACATTAATATTTCATATCCTGACAGGAAACGTTCAGATTAGACTTCAGCAAAGTGAGAGATGGAATAAAATAAGTAACACAGTTAGGCAAGTGTTTCATCCTCCCGTCGGGCAGCTGGTGAGGTACACCTCGTGCCAATCGGCCGTCAGCACATGGTGGGGCTCTTCATGACCACCACAGCCTAGAGCCGGAATCCCAGGGTGCTCTTTGTGAGAGAGCTCTGTAAATGTCCAGCTGATGCCATTTGCTCTACATGTACATTTTTGTCAGGGCAGGAGAGATTGAAGCCGAATGCTCCTCAGCCCGTGGAACACCACTGGATCTCCGTTTCCACAGCGCCTTCCCTGAGCAGCAGTAACGCAGGCAGACAAGACTTCTGCTTGAGTCTCCAGGTGCAAGGAACGGGAGGCTGTGATTCCCGCCCAAGTTGAAAGTCGCCACTTTACCTCTGCCCACTTGTGAGGGGACCTTGTTCGTCAAATTGGTTGACAAAGCAGAACAAAGACGTTCTGATATTTACCCTGTGAGTGCGTTTGAGCATCCATCCTGCTTCATCAGTGCCCACAGACGAAAGGGGCAGCCTGAATCATAAAGGGGCCCAACTTGTGGCTCAGCTAATGCAAGAGACTGCTTGAAGCTCAACAACTAAACTTGGACACAGGGTCACAAGTCGAAATGGAGGACTTAATACCTTTAGGATACAAAGTGGAAATCACTTCTACACACAAAGAGCTGCTAAGCATTGGAAGAAACTGCTCAGGGAAGCTGTTGAAGTCAATACTGTGAGATCCATTATGAAGCAACTGGATGATTATTTGGGATCAATTATCTATTAGCAATCAAATAGCTCAGAGGTCTCTTCTTGTTTGCGATGTGCTGTGTTCTTACTGTGTTTAAAAAAGGCTCTGGCATTGTAGCATTTCAGTTAAACCCAACTCGTACTGTATCATTTCTAGTCAGGTATCCCCTCAAAATGTTTTAAACCTCGTACAGTTTAGGCACTGTCTTACACTGCATCCAGCCTTGTCCCATTGAAGGCGTCCTGTTGAACTTCGGTAAACCCATTGCTATAAAGCATCCTGGAAAACAATAATTAATACATTCGATGAACACCAGCTCATGCCTGATCCTGCGTTACACATTTCCTCTTCTCATTCATTGCAGTAATGTTAACATTAAGTCACACACTCAGCTTCCACGCAACTGAGAAAAACTGTTTATCGGAGACAAAGGAATTGTCAGCTGCCAAAGAAAAGGCAAAACATAATGTTTGGAGTTGGTAAAAAGTCACCCAAGCTGAGGACTTCTCCCAGAGTGGCCAGGGAATATGTATCGGAGCGGTCAAGAGAGGCGTATGCAAATGCTAGCAGGATAGAAGTGTACTTTTCCGAGCGCGCTGGTAACAAGCTCCGTCCTCGCAAGGAAGCCCGGCTGCTCGTGTGGGCTTGAGGTTCAGAGAGAGGTGAAAAACTGGACGGCAGTGTCACCCCCTAAGCCCCCAGGAGCAAGGTCACAGGACCCGCCCAGAGACTACTCACAGCGTCAGCAAGTCGTTGGACACTCCTTGAAAAGCGTTCGGAGGGATCGATTTTATGTAGGGATGGTCAGCAATTTCACTGCATGAGCAAAGAAAAGAGATTATTAACACCTGGAACAGAAGTGACAAACAAAGTGGACTTGGCTTGTGTTTGCATTTTTAGAGAACCAAACTCTCTGTCACAGGAAGGAGAAAGATAAATGTTTCTTCGTTGCTTAGTGCTGCATGCTCATCCACTGAGCTCCTGTATTGTGTTTCTGTGTATCAAATCACCGTATATTAGCTTTCACTACATGTTTTAAAAAAACATCACATCTGTTGTTAAACAGGCCTGTACTAATGCACAGAACAGATGGTTGAATAGGATCTGGTAAAATTATCTTACAGAATGAAGTTGAAATCAGAAGAATGAATCTTGCTGAAGTCAGGAAACACTCCCAGACCAGTGTTGAAAATCCCTCTGTAATGACAGACAGATTTACAAACAAGACATTGAATCTTTGCACTGCATGATTTATTGTTTTAATGTTACTTAGTTTAAGAATAAACTGCATTGAGCAATAAATTAATAATTGCTGAAACCAGATTTTTGTTTTATCTTAACATTTTAACATTTTTTTCATTTGGAGAATGGGAAAGTATTTGGAATTACTGTATAATGTGTACTAAGGGGTGGCACGGTGGCGCAGTGGCCAGCATTGGTGCCTCACAGCACTGGGGCTCTGGAGTTCAATTCCAGACCAGGGATGCCATCTGGGTGGAGTTTTCAGGTGGGTTTTCTCCAGGGGCTCTGGTTTCCTCCCACAGTCCAGAAACTTGCTGGAAAGCTCACTGGCTTCTGTGAAAATTGCTGCTGCTGTGAGCATGTGCCCTGAGATGGACTGATGCCCTGTCCAGGCTGTATCCTGCCTTGTGGCTTTTGCTTGGATGAATTTGCAATACAAGTTTGCTACAGTTTCAATTAAAAGAAGCTATCTTCTTAGTAGAATGTATTGGTTTGTTTTCAAAGGAACATGAAAATATTGCTTACAAGTATTTCAAATTTGGTAGGTCCTTAAAAGCTTCAGGATCGATGTATGACAGCCTCCTTGCATTGCGGATTTCTCTGAAAGACAAAAATAATAGAGCCTTCTTCTCTGTTTCTCTTGTTTGCCTATTAGAAAGGAGACCTTTCCCCAGTTGCCAAGTCGTTCAAATTGTTATTCACAAGTGGATACAGTTGGACAGGTCTAATATGGGATTGTACGCAGTAAGATTCTCCAATTTGACTGTCCAATTGGTTTGGGAAAACTAGTACTGGCTAATAATTTTTGATTGCCTGGCAAATCAGAAGTCCATCTGATCCTCTCAGGGCAAATATTTCATCCCCTGAAAACAAGGCTTCCCACGGGAATCAGTAGTAGCTCCTCCAATGAGTCAATTGTCAATAAACCCCTCCTGCATTTCAAACAGCAGATTAAGATGCTGGTTATTAATGCAGAATGGTAGTATTCCTTTTGCAGGAGTGGTGTTATTCAGGTGTACCTGAACACCCTTCAAAGTACATGGACTGCGTTTCTAATTGTACTGTTTATTACAGTTTTGAAAATGAATAGCAACACCCAACAATCAGATGCTTTGTGAAAATGTACTCAGTATTTAAGTATAATAAGTGGTGACTTAACCCATTTGATTAAAGGACCACAAGAAGAAGAGGCTCTATCCCCCGAAAAGAAACAAGTGAACCCAGAACCACCGCTGCAGAAGCGTGTAGGCACACAGTATGGAAGCATGGACGCTACGATAAGAAGAGCCGGACAGGCCTGGGGCCAAGGAGACAGCCCCAGGAGCAGCGGAGGCCAAGCAGGAGGAACCCGGGGCAGAAGAGCAAACAGAAGAAAGAGTAGAGATTCAATTCCATGAAGGAGGACGTGCGAGGCTCGAGTAGCGTGGAGAGGATGAAGATGAGAAGACAACAAAAGCCAGCAGGAAAAGCAGAAGGAACAGGAATAGAAGACAAATCATGTCTTCTAAAAAAACAGATGTATATATAAAGACTGAGAAGACGGAGCGGTGAAGAAGAAGCAGAAATGCAGGAATAAGGTGGAATGGATGGTCCTGGGGCTGTTGCTAGCCAAGGTGCCCTTCTGCAAGCTGGCAGCTTAATGTCATACCAGAAGACAGCAGCGTGCTTGCAATCTTTCAAAATGCAATGGTGCATTTCTTTTAAAAATATATCACTTATGTGAATAATACATGAAAATATGTTGGTTCTTATGAAAAGTAGCATGTTTTTTCTCTTTCATTCCGACTTCATTCTTTGTGGTTTGAAGCCTCCACATATAGAACGCATGCAATGACAATGGGAGAAGAGTTAAATGTAGCAAACGTTGGTAATGGCTGTGATTAAAACAGCTGGTTGAGATTAGCTTTGTCTGTCTTTATCCCTCCCAAACATCAATGAAAAGCTTTCATTAAAGATGTACGAAGATCCAGCTTCTTGTGTCACGGGTGTTATACTGTAAATCATAACTTATTTTGTAATACATGGCATTGATGAAACCTCTATAGTCACTGAGCCCCAGGTTACCGCCGGCATGTCAGAGCTCAATAACTCAGTTGCATCCAGTTCAAGTTTTTGTTTTTCAACTGAAAATAGTTGTCCAAAGAGAGTACTGATTTTGGCAAACAAGGCAGAAATCACAAATTCTAGTCCTCAAGGCATCCAGATATTTGGAGCCATGATAAAACTGGATCAAAGCCTAGTAATTAATTTCATGTTAACATGTCTAAATTCTCAAGAGAATACTGTGATCTCAGCAGCGGTTACAAACTGCACCACCAATCGCACAGTTCACCTCTGACAATATTCCTACTGTCCCACAGTAACACAACCACACACCTCATCTGAGACTCCCCTGTAAGTGTTGTGTTTCCGTAACTCCAGGTCTCAACCACAGGCAGCTGGCAGGAAGAATAATAATCATTTCTGTCTAACCCTTACAAGCCAATTGAGAAAAGTAGCATTGTTTGTGGTGAGGCATGAATTAAGCCTTTTCTATCGATGCTGAAAGGGACTTCATTCCCACAGGAAGGGCTAGTTTAATGAGTTTAATGATACTCTTGAAATTAACAGAACGACCACAGGCTGGCTTATCCAGTTTTATTATTATTTCTATGCTGAACCACAACTGCATTTCATGCAATAAAGTTAGGATATTTAAATCTCTATGTGAAATGAATAAACTGTTATACTTCTAATTTTCTAATGCAGCTTGTGATCCTAAAACAATACAGAGAGTACAATGCTTGTGACAATGTTCACAGCCATTTTGAACAAAGCCTTGATTAAAAGCTTAAGAGTTGGTTCCAGACTTGTCTTTAGTATGGCTTTCTGTAGACTATACAAAGAGTGAAAATGATTTAGAACCAAAATCTCTGGGCAAATCTTTAGATGTAGATATGATTCTAACACGCCGCATGAACAATGACTGAATATCCCCATTGTCACTACTTTAATTAGACATTTCCAAAACATTAGTGCTTGAATAATGTACTTATATTTGTAGTTTAAAAACCTGAACATTTGAATTATTAAGGAAGAAATATTTAATGGAAGACCAAGGTTTCTTTCCATCAATAAAGAATAGTAATATGGTATGCAAAAGTGAATAACATGTTTTGTACTTTTTTTTAAGCTTTGAACTACTCACATGTGAGTTATTTTCATTAGGCTAAAAAATGCATGTTTCTCCAGCCTGCTCAGGGTCACATCCACAGATATAGATCTGCAACAAAAAGAAATATTTATATAAATACAGAATTATATAAATACAGAGCAGCCTGAGCTCTGATCTAGTCTGGTCTCAGAAGATGAGCATGGCCGGGCCTGGACAGTACTGGAATAGGACACCTCTAAGGAAGGCCAGGCTGTTGGAGGACCTGTAGGTGGTGCTCTTTTTTAACCAATGCCCCAGTGTTGTAACTGGAGATACTGTACTGTAGTTATTCTTTGAATAATAGATGTTAAAGATCCTAACCACTTGGCCATTCAATAAGACAGAAGCATGCCAGGGGATTGTCTTTAACAGTGGAGTAAAGATGCCTTCAGTAGGATAATGAATGAGAACTCCTGGATTAGAATCTTTAATGAATGTGTTATTACCGTGCATTCAGTGTGACAGTAACATCCTTCTCAAGGATCTTAATCCTGCTTAAAGGCAGCAATGCTGTATTTAACAATCAAGGACGGAGGGCACATGAATAAATGGATGAGGGCAGAATCTCGCCATGTACTGTATTCCGAACAGGGCTTGCTGGGGTCTGGCACAGGCTAAACAGCCACTGGGTTGATGATACCCAATGATACCCTGGCTGCTTTTCAAGAAAGCATGAGATCCTCTAATCAGGACAGGAAGCACTACTTTACATAAAGGGTTGCGGAGGTTTGGGACAAGCTCCCCAGCCATGATCTTAAAGCCGATACTCTGGGTGCTTTGACAGCACAACTGAATGAGATTCTTGGACCCGAAACCTCAAATGGTCAAGATGTATCGGATGCCCCTCTCTCATCTGTAGTTCTTACATTCATCTGTTTTGATTTACAGTATGAGACTGCAGTTGTTTACAATCCAAAGTGTCTCTATACGGACATCTTAGTGCATCAATAGACACTGCACCGGAGATCGTCAGAAGCATCTGTATGAGATTCCTTTATTTTGCGATTCTGGAGAGCTCAAGCCTTAAGATCATTCGTCTCTCCTGAATATGAATGTTCCAGTTCATTGTTGCCGTGTAACAGTACAGTGTTTCAAGTCATTCCTCAGGAAATGGAGCAGAAAAAGAACACTTCATTTTTAAAATCAGCTTTTTCAATTATTTTGATTTTTTTTTATTTTACATCCTCACAATTCTAAACCACTAACTGTGAATCATCTTCACACAGAGCTTGTAATCCTCACTGTATTCCAGGAGAATGGGCCTCACCTGTCAGGGGCTCAGCCTGCTGTGAGCGGGTCTCCTGGGAACCCCAGGAATGCAATATATCTCAATCTCATCCGACAGATTGTTCAATCACAATAATACAACAGCACACATCACTGCTGAGGCCACAGCTCGTCAAGCTGGGACAAGCTGGCATGTTATTTAACATCCTTACAGAAAAATATTTTCACCACCTCTGTGGCTGATGGTTAACACTCTTCAGAAACGCATGTGTTAATACACCGAAAGACAGACCATAGTGACCAAATAACTGCTGTCCGAGCACTTACTGAGATGACCTTCTATGATTTATGCATCATTAAAAAGCCATTTACTTGCACCATGTCAGAGAGCTGTGTAGAGGGGGGGTCTTACTTGGTAACAGTCAGGAGCCACACAGCAGCTTGGATGGAGGAATATCATAGCGTGTATATTTTATTACAACCTCACACTTATCTCTTGTTTTACTATTACGAATGATCCAATGCTTCTGCCTGTCTTGCCTCCTCTCAAGCTAAATTTTTAAGGAAATTTTAAAATTTCTGTTTCTGTTCTCCGTCGGCTAATTTTCTTTCACCTTCCTTCTTACCGTTCAAACCCATTCGACAAGAAATAATTCTAATTCCTCATTCATTAAAAACATTATTCATCACACTCACTAGCACTCCTTGAAACATGAGAAGTAAAAATGAACGACTTGGAGGGATTTTAAATATTTTGGGCTTCAAAATATATACCTCTCTAATGCTTTATTTATCTTTCTGCAGTAAGATTACAAATTCTGGATATGGAAATAATTTACAAGCAGTACACATATCATATAGCTCAAAAGTACAGCTTTGCAATTTAAACATGCAATACATATTTAAAGTTAAAAAAAACAGTTTATTTTAAAAAGTTTTAAACAGGGACAAAACAAAACTTTTCCTGTAGAAAAATACTTACATTCTAGAAATGTTTACCAGGTTTGCAAAAGCATTGCTCGGAACCTTGAGCAGTCGGGTTTCCAGCAACCACCTGCGTAAAAACAATCAACAGCTGTTGTGTGTAGAGGTGTATAGTTCTCACTTTTTATTTCCAGTGCAATAACGCCACATTTTGCGATGTTAAAATTGAACACAGGGTGATACAGAATTCTGCACATGGACACCATGAATGTGAGAGAAGGCTCCCTCTGATATGTGCACATGTCTCCGGCTGGGAGCAATCTGATCCCGGGCATATCAAGAACAGCCTTTTCTCTCTTTACGACATGTGACATGTATAATCTCATGTCTGGAAATCCTAAGCGCTGCAGTGAAATATCATTAGCAGTTTAGACTGAAGTACACTACTACCAGCAGCCATATCACCCTGCAACTCACAACTAGCAGCCCACTGAAGCTAAGCAGGTGTGAGCCTGGTCAGTACCTGGATGGGAGACCAGCAGAAGGTTGCTGCTGGAAGAGGTGTTAGTGGGGCCAGCAGGGGGCACTCACCCTTCGGTCCATGTGGGTCCTAATGCCCCAGTATAGTGATGGGGACACTATACTGTAAATCGGCGCCGTCCTTCGGATGAGATGTAAAACTGAGGTCCTGACTCTCTGTGCTCATTAAAAATCCCAGGGCGTTTCTCGAAAAGAGTAGGGGTGTAACCCCAGCATCCTGGCCAAATTTCCCATTGGTTCTTACCAATCATGGCCTCC